TTAGAGATAATGGGACATTAGTTTTCATTTGGACGACGAATTCATTTTCGAAGTAATGAGAATGTTTCCGAATCAAGGATTCTGATGAGGAACTTCACCTCATATTATATCGCATAATCAAGAAACACATTCACTGGAGCCATGTCATAGAAAAAGTACATAGACGCTCTGAGATTTTCCAACGTCTTGCAATACCCTTCCAGTTTCCTCCTAGTTAGAAAAAAACCATTGCCTTGTCAGTTTCGAAAAATGAGTAGCGCATGATGTTTCCCAAAAATTATTTTTGGCAATCAATTCCTATATTGAATCAAACAAGGTGTTTTGAGCCAACCAAAATAGAATATATAATAACAGTCATTAATTGGTTGTCGATTCTGCAAAGTTAGCCTTGAAAAATCTACCGTTAAATTTGAGCATATTTTTTCTTTTAGCGTCCTAACTCTAATCACCAGTCTGCGATGCTCATAACGCGTAGATTCAGCTGAACTTCATAACCACTCTTAACAAACAAAATCTCGCACTATTTCCACTTCGATTCCCACTTTCAACCTCAAAGTGCAAGTGCACTTCGGTAGAAACAACGACAAAGGAACGAGAAAGAATAATTTATTTATTTCAAATAATAATTGGAAGAACTGTATCCTGCAGCTAATTGTGGCCCTAAAGAGGGCCGTTGGGTTAAGTTTATACAGCGAATGCTTGGCGCTTAAGCACGCTCTCCACGGATGCGACGAGCGAGCTGGATGTCCTTGGGCATGATTGTGACGCGCTTAGCGTGGATGGCGCAGAGGTTGGTGTCCTCGAAGAGACCGACGAGGTAGGCCTCCGAGGCCTCTTGCAGGGCCATCACAGCCGACGACTGGAAGCGCAGATCGGTCTTGAAGTCCTGGGCGATCTCGCGGACGAGGCGCTGGAACGGCAGCTTGCGGATGAGCAGCTCCGTCGACTTCTGGTAGCGACGGATCTCACGCAGGGCGACGGTTCCCGGACGGTAACGATGGGGCTTCTTGACTCCGCCAGTGGCCGGGGCCGACTTGCGAGCGGCCTTGGTGGCCAGCTGCTTGCGAGGGGCCTTTCCTCCGGTGGATTTGCGAGCGGTCTGCTTGGTACGAGCCATTGCTGAGTGTTCTGAGAGAACGGTAACGAGCCATGTCCGGTGACCTTATATATGCATCCCCGTGTCCAGGGCGGGGCCTCGCCCGTCAAGCGATAGTGTGGTGAATCGCGTAAGGGCAGGAGGTCACCCACTGACGAGCCCGCTTGTTAAAGTCCGAGCAGATCAGAATCGACTGACATAACAGTGGAAGGGAGACGTAATCTCGCCAAAATAGATTTTAAGAGGAAATAATCAGTTTGTCAGATATAATGGTATCTGAGTTTTGTCTCCACAGTGCTGTAGCAAATTACCATAGACACAGTTTGCAGTCTGTTGAGTTGGTGCTCTCTATGAATACACGTGCCCCCAAAAAATGTGCGCAATGTTTGGTGGTTACTAACTTTCTTGCTTTCACATCTTACCGATTTTAAGATTGTAGAGCGAGGGTCAGCTCAAATGTACAGTAGGTAGCAAACCATGGATTTTCCTTCATTACTGTAGGATTACTGTAGCACCTTCGAGAAGGATTTTAGGCCACTGAAAAAATATAAAAGGGAAAATATTAAAAGCTAAAAAGTTGAATATAGAAAATTTAAATATAAAAGAAATATTCTTCCCCAGAAAGAAAACTAAACAAGCCATTTTGTGCTGAGCTAAGCAAAGTCGCTGGTTCTCCTATGTATGTAATTTGCACTTTAGCATAATGCTTCCTTCAAAAGTTCAGATATACCGTAACAATTGTTTTTTGCAATGTTTGTCAGAAATGTACTTACACAATAAAAAAAACTTTAAAAATCGTAAAAAGTTGTGTAGTGAAATTAGCACGCCTGAAAACGTGGCTACGCAATTTTTTTTTGGAGATAACTTTGTTGGACGGTCTTTCCACAATGATTCTACATGATGGAATCTACCGAATCCTATAGTAATGAAGAGCGACCGGTGGTCCGTTCCATGCTCTAATTCTAACTTGAAGAGCTCTACACAATAACATCTAAGGATCGGCAGTAAACATCAAAGCAAAAGAGTTATTAACGATCAAACAGGTACACTCCTGGGGCATGCTGCATATTTAGTAGTAAAATTTGAAAAGTAACTCCTGTGAGAACAATTACGGGAGCTGTCGTACCTAACCAGATTTTGACAGATATCCGATATGCTTCACAATGATAAAAGATAGCACGATTTTGCGTACGATTTTGCCAATATTGTGCAGAAATTATTACTTAGGTTCAAATGATTGACTTGTGAATCATCCCTTGTATTCTTGTATCTTTACATGCCAACGCTCAATGCTGCAGGGTATTTCTATCCTGTCCAAACACTGCAAATAGATGCAATTAGTTTACGAGGGCTGAAGCTATAGAACGCGTCATTCCTTCAAATCCCTAACTCAGCATCCTTTTCTGCCATTTTTTATTTTTTGTTCTATTTTTTTCTCACACTATTTGCATCAATACCTCGAGCTCTTGACTGTTCATATTCACTTAATTAAGACATGAAATGTGCGCCCTACTTGAGCCTCAATAAACGTTACGGATGACAAGTCACAGCGTGTGATTGTTTTCAGAGGCTTACCGTGACCCAAGCCTGCCATAGAGGTCGCGAAAACAATTCTAACCTACTGCACCTGCCACATGAGAATGACAGCAAATGACGTAAGAATTCGTGATGTGCATGGTAGGCAGAAAGTGATGATGTAACGAAAAGTCCCAAAGATCCAATGCCAAGTGCATGACATGTGCGATAATTAGAAAGCATAGATTGTTTTGTAAAGAACAATGAACTGAACTGCGCTAGGATTGTAAGTGGGTGGTTGTCACAGAAGTAAGTAGAAATCAAGAAAAAAGCTAATGAGCTAAATATGATTGTGAGAAGAAAAAAAATAAATCGAAGCGGCATTCCGGAACCGATGTGTACCTGTGTGGAGAGCATGAAATGCAGATTTAACAACGCCTTTGAATTACGAGTTTTAGAAATCGCATGATAGCTTGAGAAAATCGTTATGTCTCTCAGTGGGACGGAGTTACGATGAGCATGATACATTGGAAAGGTTCAATTTACAGTATAGAGTCTTTCGAATCAAAACCTTCATTTGCCTCACAGGCAGTCCTAGCGAATCTCTTCAAGTCACGCGTTTAGATTTTCAGCCGAAAATACAATGATTTCTTGCAGCACTGAAACGAAGCTAACGAAACAAGACTCAAGCTGAAAAAGTGTAAAAACATAGACAAATAAATAACAGGTCTTCAGGTCACAAGTTGATTCGAAATTCACCAATTGCAAAACTGAAGTGTTTTTTATGATCATTCCAATCGACCTGTACTACTATTAGGTTGTTGCAAAAATAATGTCCGTTTTTCTAGGCGTATATTCCAAACGACTTTTCTCCTTCAAGCTTTCTTCTTCGACAGAGATTCTGCACATCATTGGAAAGCTTTCTTCATGCATTTTCTAACGGTGGTGAAATTAAGCTTTTATCTCATCTGTAAAATTTTCACCAGCATTTTGCACAGCCGCACTCTAAATCGAAATTTCATTGCTCCAACTTTCTTGGCCACAATTCAAGCGCAAATAAACGAATTCTTCTGAAAACATAGATACTGTGTAGGATGAATTTTACTTATTACATGTTTAAATAATTTTTTCGAATATACCTGAACTGACAAATCGAGCTTCAAAAAGATACTCGCTGCCTGGGATTCTATGGGTTCGAAATTTTTCCTGATTAGGGCAATCGCTGAAACTTCGCTCACTTCTGTAGGCTTAAGGTCAGGACATCTTATCTACAACTCATGCAAAAAAACTTAGTCGTTCAGTGCATGAAGAATTCCAAGTTTTTATAGTTTGGGACTTCCAAGCCTATCACAAATGGGCTTAAAAAAGTGAACAATTTTGAATTCCTATCTTTTCTATTTCGCAGAACTTCTTCGCTAAAGTTATTTTTATACAAACGTATACTACTGGGTTGCGTCTACAAAATAAGCTGATTAGCAGCCATAACACCAAAACTTGAAGGAATTTCTAATCTTTCAAAAACGATGTTTTCAAAAGCAAAAATTTGGTTTTCTGACGCATGGTTTTGTTCCCGTTTGCGATATCAGTATGTGCAGGTGTGCCTTAGATTAAAAAAGGTCTACTGCATCTGACGGTCTTAACTGCATTCAAAAATATGAAGGCTGAACGAAGTTATAGCTTTTCAAATTGGAATTTTGCAAAACGGACATTATTTTTGCAACAACCTAATACCATCCGAGATTTCATTTGTTTTACTTTTTCAAACACTCTCTCGTTATACCCTCACATACAACATTATCATTTGAATGCAGCTTTATTCACACATAATAATATATTACTCGGAATTATTGAGCATTTGTGGCCCTAAAGAGGGCCGTTGGGTTACATTTGGCACACGAGTGCAGTAGAGGAATTTATTCCTTGTCGCCAGCAGTCTTCTTGGGGAGAAGGACAGCCTGGATGTTGGGCAGGACTCCTCCTTGAGCGATGGTCACACCGGACAACAGCTTGTTCAGCTCCTCGTCGTTGCGGACAGCGAGTTGGAGATGACGAGGGTTGATTCTGGTCTTCTTGTTGTCACGAGCAGCGTTGCCGGCCAACTCGAGCACCTCAGCAGCGAGGTATTCGAGCACGGCGGCCAGGTAGACGGGGGCTCCTCCTCCGATTCTGCCAGCGTAGTTGCCCTTGCGGAGCATGCGGTGCAGACGACCGACAGGGAATTGAAGTCCTGCTCGGGATGAGCGGGACTTGGCCTTGCCTCCGGTCTTGGCTTTGCCTCCTTTTCCACGTCCAGACATAGTAGCGAGAACTGCGAGAGATACACTCACGGGTAACTAGAGGGGTTGCGAGGCCGCCTTTATGCACGGGGTCGCTCCCGAGTTCCGCCCCCATGACCTCCGCGAAACCACCTGCTAGGGCGGGTCATCGCGACGAACCGCGTATAAACGGGCGTCTCGCGATTCAGTCCTCATCCACTGTCTACCCAGTGAACCCAATCGTCATGCCACCAAAGCCATCAGCCAAGGGAGCGAAGAAGGCCGCGAAGACGCAGAAGGCGAGCCGCAGCGGAGACAAGAAGAAGAGGAGCAAACGCAAGGAGAGCTACTCGGTCTACATCTACCGCGTGCTCAAGCAGGTGCACCCCGACACCGGCGTGTCGTCGAAGGCGATGTCGATCATGAACTCGTTCGTCAACGACGTCTTCGAGCGCATCGCTGTCGAGGCGTCGAAGCTCGCCCACTACAACAAGCGCTCGACGATCTCGTCCCGCGAAATCCAGACCGCCGTCCGCCTGATCCTCCCCGGCGAGCTCGCCAAGCACGCCGTCTCCGAGGGCACCAAGGCCGTCACCAAGTACACCTCCAGCAAGTAAACGCCTTGCCTCCTGGTGCATGCACCCAATCTAACCCAACGGCCCTCTTTAGGGCCACAATTCTCAAGATTACCATGATTGCTTAGATAATAAAGTTTAAGCGTTCCAAGAGCTGTTTCTGTAGGTCATAAGTTTGTGGTGATGAACGAAGACCTTAATGATAGTCGTGCATAGTAAATACATTGTCAAAGGTACTATAGTTTATTTATTCCTTTACACATTGGCTGCAGTTAGATTTGAAACAGAGGGAACTGCCACTTATGCAGGTGTTTATTTTGTTCTTAGAATGCGAGAGTGTTGCACGGCATCAAAAGGAATACTGAATGTTATCAAATTTGCTTGTTTTGACTGAGTAGCTTTAGTAGATGTTAACCTTTGCTTTTTTACAAATGGACTTGTTCGCGCATTCTTTAGTACAGCTAGCATCCTGAATCTTTCTCACAATACCCGTAGAGCCATCAAATATGTATTGTACAAAGGAGGTGGATTTTCCCGCTTTCCACAGCGTCCTCCATTGTTTGACGAAGCTCCGAATAGGTAGTGGAACGATGAATTCAAAATTCTCTCTTTGAAAATCAAAACCTGTTGTAGCTCAGATGAAGGAAAATTTCTAACTTTTGTTTTCCTAGTCATAGCTCGAATAGATACTTCTTCTTTCCACTTCAGGATTCGCTATGATTCATATAGCAGTTTAGGAGTTCCATTAGCAGACTATCATCTGGATTCCAAGCGACATCGTCGTTCAAATTTCGGCGGGAACTAACGCGAGGATGGCATATATGGGAGGGCCCAGAGACAAGGGATGGAATTGTACCGGTGATGGGTGGCCACAAAAGAAGTGGAACAAGGGTTGAGATAAAATTATCCACAGGAGCTCAACTGATCAAGCGATTATTATTGTGCGAAAAGTAAAAATCAGCCCGAAAAAAGAGAAGTTGGTTTGACAACCAAAATTATCATAGTTGTGCACAAGCGCGTCTTTGTTACTGTAACAGATGAAACTCCCTTTTTATTTCAAAAAAAAAACATAGGAGCAAACTTAACTATTAGGTTCATAGCTGCCAAGTTTTGGACTGCAGTGCTGACCTATTCCCAATCTGCTCTTACATCTGCCTGACTATTTGCTCCCTGGGCGACAAAGCTGTTGCGCAATAAATGAAGTTGTATAGCATTACTTAGGTATTTCGGAAGCACATAGATAAAAGCGTGCCGCCCTAGTAAATCGCCTCTCCAATCATTTGCAATGTCGAGCAATAAGCTAACAAAGGTCGGTGCTTTCTTTGATCGCGAATGTCCCCACTGCAGGAGCACCATAGACCTTTTATTATATGAGCACTCAACTTTCTTCTACAAAAGACAAAAATTTCTCCTTCTTTGACCAAAGCTCTAGAGTATTCTCATTCATAAGGAAGCTGTGGGGACCGTATTTTTTCAATGGACAAGCTCGATTAGCTTGTTGTTAATCAACTAAAACCCTCTTAATTTGGAAAAATGCCGTTTGCGGCAGGCATAAGGTGTTGATTATGCCGTAAATCATGCGATTGTGAATTGAGATATGAGAGTGAATCTGATTGTGAGCATGAAAGAAACACCTCCCGAGTACCTACCTACTCGGTGACTGGAATATGAGTAGTTTTTGAAGATCAGAAGGTCATACATATATAGTCGTCCTCCCCCCACTAGACACCCAGTGGACGATTTCAAATTTGAACTGGAGCATTCTGGTTGCGGCAGAGCGCGGCACATTCGGCTTTTCATTCAAACTCGAAGTTTTTCTTTGCATTTCTCCGACGTTTTATGCAATTTTTTGAATGCTAACAGTCTTCTTAGTTGAGATTGGAGATTGTATTGCTTTTGAGGAATGTTTCGTGCTGTTTTTTCAACTTTGAAAATAGAGGTAGAGAGAAGCATAAGGTATGAAACATCGCTAAACAACAACAAACTCGTCAATTCTGATTACAAACGCCATTGAGATAAATGAATTACCATGCAACGACGAGAAATACAAAAGAACACTGCAAGAGCTTGAAACGAATTTGACGGTGCCGCGCTCTGCCGCAACCGGCGTGCTCTAGTTCAAATTCGAATTCGTCCACTGGGTTTCTAATATCTGCTCCAAGACGAAGGCGGTCGCCCAAATAGGTTGAAAACATGCAAAGCTGCGGCGCGCGCGCAATTGTCAACCACAGGGCGCACGCACGCTCGGTCAGCGGTCATTCACGCGAGCGCGCGCGCGACCCGTGGTTGACAATTGCTCGCGCGCCGCGTGCGCGTCAGCCTTGCATGCTGTCAACCTATTTGGGCGACCGCCTTCGTCATGGAAGAGATATTAGTGAGAAAAAGTTAAATGCTCAAAATAACATACCGTAACCTGCGTCCTTCAATAAGCTGGGGCACGTTTTCATGTAGGGACTTGCGCGATATGCGAACGATATGCGACAAAATGGGCGGATGGGAGATAGACACATTGAGCGGATGGATTCATGGCTGCTTGCTGTAAGTCTCACTAGATCACTACGTAGTAGGATACAAATACGATTAGGTAGGTGTTGTCTTGCCCAACCTAGTCCCTACACATCCTTGTGTTTTATGATAAGGACGTCTATAAATACTTGGTGATAATATAACATTTCTTTGCATGATAAGTTTTCGTTCCAAGTGAGTGGGAAAGTGGTTGTTGTTATGAAACGAAATGTTGTGATACTTCCGCTTGCAACGTTTTCCCGCAAGAGTAGACGTTTGCAAGTATCATTTACCATGATCGGACATGGTCGTCGCATGTACTTTGAACAATTCAGAAATTCCATGCATCTTTTGCAAGAAAAAACATTTGTTTATTTGCAATGAAATTTGAAGAAGCATGCTACACGATAGCTTTCTTGCCAGGCTGCCTAGAGCGAAGGGATATTATCACTTAACTTTCCGCGCAACCCTACCCGAAGAGGGTAGTTTATCCAAAATAGCTATACAGAGGGATTGCGTGTGCACAAGAAGAGGAAGTAAATCTCTACCAATAATAAATTCTTCTCTTGCAAGATAAACAACAGCTTTGTTACAAAGGTTTCCCCATGATCGACCTGGTTGCAACCACACTTCCAACATCTGCTCTATGTGTACCTTAGCTGTATGCAGAGGGAAGTTCATCAACTTTTTGAGCAGCTGATAAGCATTGTCGCAATGACTTTGAGAGCTTCGGAAACTCTCTGTCAGAAGCATTCCATCCAATGTCTATCTGACTAGTGCCGCAGTGCTGATGTAACTTGTTCCTATAGGTTAATATATAGTGAACGATATAAGACTCCATTAGAAATGCCTCAAACGAAGCAACTTAACCGAAGCATTCAGCGACGCCAAAGCAAAAGGAAATATTGACGGGCTCCCGCCCTCTGCAATTTGTTCATGTGTTCACGCAAGGTTTCAAATAGGGGAAAAAGGGGACTCGTAGCTTTCCTGCACTAAAATGACGAACGTAGCTTTCCTGCGCTAAAATGACGATGTACACATGTGCAGGCGAAGCCGGGGCTGGAAAAGTGTGCCCTCCGCAGAAAGCCTGTGCGATCAGCGCAGGTTACGGTATGTTATTTTGAGCATTTAACTTCTTCTGTTTCTAGTGGGGGGAGGACGACTATACCGATGTCAGTGATTACATTTCTATGCGCTAACTTACTTTTCTGTCTGGTTCTTAGTGTAACATAATTACGGAGGAGGCTATTGAGTGTCTTTGTATTGGTAATCCTATCCGTCGCCTTCATTCGCAGAACACGCTATGCTTTATGGCTTCCCTTTGAGATTTTACTACCCATAAGAGCCCACCTGCTGCCTTTCCGTTCGTTTTGGCGCTCGAATTCAAAACACAACACTTCAGGTCTTCGTCTGCGAAGACATTGTATCGTAAGTAATTGCAGAGTTTGACTTTGCCAGAGGCATTGACAGCAAATTTTCGTGTCAAGCGTCACTTGATGATGAGGAGAGAAGTGAGTGACAGATTGTTATCGTTACACATTGTTGGACGGAAATGTAAAATTATGCTTAGACAATGTGTAAGAGGGCAAGACCATCTGCTCTTGTAAGACCGGACAGGTACAGAATGACGCTTAAAAAGTGTCAGAAGAGCTCACAAGGGAGATCCGTTAAAAGGAAGTGGCCTTTTCAGATGATATTGATACGGCTACAAAGAGCATCGAACGGTGATTTCAAATTTGTTTTTGTTATCTGCGGAGCTCCTCTGGACGTTAAGCTATGAGCGTTTTTGAGCTGAAAATTGAATGCATAGTTAGTACAAAATTCATCCGAATGCTCATATTGTCCAAGGTGGTTGATTATCAGAGAAATCCATTTCAATAATACCTTCTGTCCGAAACGCTCTACTTAGCACTGCTCTGCTTGAGCGCTGAAAAGATCGCAAATTTTGATTTTACCTAGATTATGCGGTGATTTTTCGCATCAAGATATTCATGATCTCGACAAGCAGGGCGCTCGGCAGATAATAAAATCAGATTTGGAATCACCGTTTGATGCTCGCCAAAACGGTATAAGGCTCATTTGAAAAGGCCTCGTCTTATTGGGCCTGCCTTGTCAGATCAGAGCATTTTCTCATGGTAGATACGATAGACTTTTCTCATCTGTCAATAAATTCCTTGGAGTCAGCGTCTGTTTGAGACCAATACGAGTTTGAATTCTAATGACGATGATACGATCAAACTCAGCTTTGATGACAATTTTCGCGTTGTACGTTTGTTTTGTCTATATATTCTATTCTATTATAATAAATATTAGAGTATCAAAGCAACCTGAGCGAGCTAACTCACTATTTTTTTTTGCAAGAACATAAATAAGCGATCCTAAACCCTCAGTTTCGAGATTGAGCGGAAATTCAGCGACCCACTATTCGACGACGGTCTTCACCAGTTTGCCGCGCACACGATCTATTTTTTGCTCTTCTTTTCAAGTGTGACCAACCAAGTAGGAGTAAATTTTTGTATAGCGAATTCTGTTCGATT